CTTATCTGGGGATCAGAGGACAGAGCTAGCCACTAAATTAGACATCGAGGCCAGACAGTGGTGGTACACACCCTTAATCCTATCACTCTGGAGCAGAGTTCAAGGCCACACTGGGAACAGAGCCAGCCTAGTGGCATACACCTTTAATCCCAGCATCTGAGATCTCATGTCTTTGCTTGGGAAGGACACACGCCTTTAATCCCAGGAAGCAATGGCAGGAAGCAGAAAGGTATATTAGGCATGAGGATCAGGAACTAGAGACTTTTAAGCAGTTCAACTGAGACTGTCAGGGATAAGGACTCAGGAGCTTTCAGTCTGCTGATTCATGGAAACAGGATCACTGAGAAGTTGGCAAGGTGAGGTTGGCTGTGGCTTGTTCTGTTTCTCTCATCTTTCAGCATTCACCCCAATATCTGGCTCCAGGTTTTTTATTGATAAGACCATTTAGCAATTGGTGTTACACCCCCACATCCAGCTTATACCCCTTTTCTCAATGCAGAGGATCAAATACAGAACCTTGTGCTTGCTAGGCAAGCTCCCTACCACTGAGTTATGTCCACAACCTATTTTCTTTGTTTGCTTGTTTTTATTCATTTACATACCAACCACAGTTCCTTCTCCTTCTTTCCCCCACCTCCCATAACCCACCTCCATGCACATCCCAGAAAGGGTAAGGCCTCCCATGGGGAATCAACAGGCACATTCAGTTGAGGCAGGACCAACACCACCCCACCATTAAGGCTGAGCAAGGCATCCTACCATATGGAATGGGCTTCAAAAAGCTAGCTTCAGCACCAAGGATAGATCCTGGTCCCATTGCCAGGGGTCTCACAAACATACTGTCGCCTACATGCAGAGGTCCTAGTTGGGTCTCATGCAGGCTCCCCAGCTGTTGGTCTAGTGTCCATTTACTCCCACAAATTCAGATCATCTGTCTCTGTGGGTTTCCCAGTTATGATATTGACACCCCCCCCCCTTGCTCCTATAATCCCTCTTCCCTCAATTCTACTGGACTCCTGTAGCTCAGTCTGGTGCTTGGATGTGGGTCTCTGTATCTGAGTTCATCAGTTACTGGATGAAGGAACTATGGTGATAGTTAGGGTATTCACCAATCTGATTACAGGGGAAGGCCAGCTCAGGCACCCTCTCCATTATTACTAGGGCTAATTTCAAAGGTTTATTTATTTATTTATTTATTTATTTATTTATTTATTTATTTATTTATTTATTTATTATTTATTTATCTATTTATTTATTTATTAAATCTTCGAGGGTGGGGTACTAGATGGAGTACTTCAGTTATACTAAAAGAAATAACTTTTATCCATTTTAATAGATAAAGGTAGAAATTATAAAAATTACAATCAAGTTCCAGAAGTATCTCATAGACACAAATGAATGAAATTTCTGAGCCCAACTGGTCATCAGAAGCCAACTAGCATGAGTCTCACATTAATAGTTTGGGTAAATGCTCTCTTTCTCTGTTCTTTGTATCTGTTTCAGAGTGCTGGCTGAAATCCGCTGGTTGTACATTTTTCTCTGACATTCAAACTACAAAACAAGAATGGCTATGTTCTGGTACCAAAGGGGGCAAGGAACTAACTGAGGCAAAACCTGAGTGTTCTTGGGTATAATACCAAATACTCATGGTGGGATTTCAATTTTTTTTTCCTCACATAACTGACATTGTGATTATGTTGGCACTGAAATAATAAGGCTATGAAGAGAGACCTTCATGTGGTTTAGAGAACATATTACCATAAAAGAAAGCTCTACAACAGATCAATAGTTTTAAAAATGACTCACTGGGGATGAGGAGAGGCTCACTCAGTAAGACAAACATGGGAACCCAGGTTTGATCCTGAGCACCCACATAAACTGCCGAGCAGAGCATAACATAACTGTAATCCTCTCAGTGAGAAGGCAGGGACAGAACGATCGCTGGCCTTTCATAGGGTCACGTTGGTGAGTTTCAGGTTCAGTGACAGACACAGTCTCAAGGAAATATAGAGGAGAAGTGATTAAGGAAAACATTTGATGTCAGCCTCCTGCCTCTACATGGACATATGTATATGTGTCCATCTGCACACACAGGCACATGCACAACACACACAAACATGTACACAAAAATTTACTACACAGAAGCATACCCGTGGACTTCTGCAGTGAAAAAATCATATATATATATATTTCAGATACTTTTCTAAATACTGACTGCTCAGTTACAAAATAAGTTTGGCCAGGCTTGTGGGTAACCTGCTCTCACAAGTCATAGAAAGGAGAGTGCTTTCAGAAAAACCAAAACAAATATCAGAACCACCATGCTGCTTTGATATGAAAATAAGAATGGGATATTTCTTGAAAGATAAAATAATTTCTGTGACTCCTAAAGACAAGAATGAATCCAGAAAGAAATTGGTACCCATTATGCCTCTCCACATGCACAACAGATTTAAGCTATTCATCCAGAAGGGAAATTGTGAACATCTATGAGAAGTCATTCTGTATAACATGGTCACATGAGCACCTCTCAGGGCTCTATGAACCAAGACAGTGGTTGGCATGAATTTATGGCTTGCCTCACAGTTCAAAACTTACGGGAAAAGGTGGTATGGTGTGAAGCAGCCAGAACTTCATTGCTTGGGTTCCGTTTCTAATGTGTCATTACTGGTCAATTACTCACTGAGAAAGAAAGCTACTGTAAGGACAGATCAGCCCGAATGTGATTTACAGAATAAATTAAATTCCAAATGAGAAGTTGCTATGGGATGGTCTGTATGTCAAATGTGTTGCTCTGATTGGTCAATAAATAAAACACTGACTGGCCAGTAGCCAGGCAGGAAGTATAGGTGGTACTAACAAAGAGGAGAATTGAGAGAACAGGAAGGCCGAGGGAGACACTACCAGCCGCTGCCATGACAAGCAGCATGTGAAGATGCTGGTAAGCCACAAGCCCCGTAGCAAGGTATAGATTTATGAAAATGGATTAATTTAAGATGTAAGAACTAAATAACTAGAAGCCTGAGCCATTAGGCCAAACAGTTTAAATAATATAAGCATCTGTGTGTTTATTTTATAAGTGGGCTGTGGGACTGCCGGGGATTGGCAGGACCCGGAGAGAGTAAACTCTACAGTTACAAGAAGGCTTTTAGAATATTCTAGAGTACAGTTTGAAATAACATGTCAGCCAGTAGTAGGGCTGCCACTGCCAGAATCCAGGTGCTCTTTCCTCTCTCTCTCTCTCTCTCTCTCTCTCTCTCTCTCTCTCTCTCTCTCTCTCTCTCTCTCTCTTTCTCAAGTAGTCACTACTCTTAGCTCATCAAGGAACACAAAATGAGATTCTGGAATGTTCTACCCTTGGCCTACTGTTTGATTTTTCTCTTTTCAATGTTCCTTGACAATTTCATCTAATCCAATGTCACTTGGATGCCGTCATAACCTAAATATTTTTGACATTAGACCCACTACTGTTCCAGTGCAATATTTTATATTACTCTCCTTCTTTTTCTTCATCTCCACTGCTCTGCTCACTGTAAGCAGGAGTCATGTGTGATTTATTTAGATGTGTGGGCTCAGTGTCAACAACAGTTGAATACAAGAAGAAATTACTTGCTATTGTAGATGAGCTGAGATTATTTTTAATAAATAGATATACATCATATTTAAGAATGATTATATTATAAAACACAAAACATATATGAACAAAATATGCTGATATGTAAAAAGAAAATAATTAAAATTACTTTGAATAATACATGAAATTACAGGTGTGTATAGGTTAGCACAAAATTTATAAAAATTTACAGAGGCTGTATAGGAGCCAGGAAATACTTATTGGAAGAAAATACTTCTAGTTCTGCATAGAAATCTTGGCCTTGTTTATTATATTGACTTCAATATATTGCCTAAGAATTTTAAACTCATTGTTTAAGGGACATTGCTCAAACATCTATACATAACCTACATATTCTATAGGTTAAAATCTGAAAGAACCCTATCATTTGTCAATCATTGTATTGTAAGATCATAAGGGTTACACAGTTATAAATATTTTCACATGTCATCATTTAAGGAGCATATATGATATAGATACGTATAGCTACATATAGAAATATAGATCTAGATCTATACACACACACACAAACACACACTTGGGATTTTCAGTGGACTCTAGTGATGTGGCAATTCTAGCGAAGGACACAGGAGATGGAGAACACAGTCGTCATCAAAGGGCTTTGCTATCTCTGTCTTGCTGCTTGGATCTAACGGACTGTTTATTTCCAATGCCTCACTGTTCAGCCTTCTTTCGTTTTTCCTTCACTCAACATCATTATATTTCTCATGTGTGGCCTACAATAGTTTCTGTGCACTGCATTTTAGAAACAAGACCTAAGAACCTAAATATTGAGTTCTTCTAAGGCCATCTCTTTCTAGAATTCAAGTCCTGTTTGCTATGGAATTTTAGTAAGTAATACATGGAATTTTAATAAGTAACACATGGATGTATGCATCCACTTGTGATTTCTTCTGAGTCTACTTTAAATTGTTTACAGTTTAAAAAAAAAAGTCATTCACCTGAATTAGGAGAAGTGACAATATTGCGCTCCCCTTTGTCCTCTACTCCAAGTGACAGAAAGGAGGCAGAAAAGGGATGAAGCTAAAGCCACCCATTCTTATCTGATTGGTCCTCTGACTCTCTTAGTCCTCATCCTGTCAGAGAAAGAGGGACTTGCAGTATGTCCTGTGCTATACCCTGACAGAATCTGTGTATCCATCTAATGGTGACAGCAGCTCCTCTAAGCCGGGTCATCAGTCACTTTGGCATTGCTATTCCTAGTCTTTCCCCGCAGGTGCCTCTCTGTAGCTTATCTGCTGCCTACAGTCACAGACTCTGCCTGGCAGAAGGGCAGAGCGACCACGTCTAATCAAGCAGGGCACCCCGTGCACATCGTGACGTCAAGCCCACTCACAAAGAAGAGTAGAAAAAGAAACAGCTGTACCCGCAGGAAGGAGAGGTCCCGGTTGTGCTCGATGCTGGTGATCTCCAGGTTGCCCATGACTACCTCGCAGTTTTCATAGTATTTGCGCAAGGCTCGGTACTGCTGTTCCAGGTCAGAGAGAGAGCTCAGTTTATTCTCTGTTCCTGCGCACACTGAAAAGACAAAAATGCACCTTAAGTTATATTACCTATAGATAACACGAACAATGATACCATCACACACAAAGGGAATTACTAGTTTATCCCAACTCATCAAGTTATTTAAAATGTGATCAGGGGTCATAGAGCACCACCCCTTCAGAGAGAAATTAGCTGAAATTGTCAAGCAAGGAGAACAAAAAGTGGCCTCCATGGAATTCCTTCATTTATTTTTTTTTTTTATGTTTATATTCATTTGTTACAATTAATTTAATATATTTCCTCATTAAAATGTACTGATTTACAATCAAGGTGTGACTGTAAACCAATTTTAAATCAAACAGAAACAAATCTTTGTGTCTTTTACTATCTAAAACTTCTCTGGTGATTTTTTTTCTTTTCTGATTACTTTAAGTCTATTTTGAAGACTAAATCTGTTTTTCAGATAGTCTGTGTTACATATATAATTTACATTTAATCCTTCATTTATCTTTTAAAAAAAATCCTTGAAATAATCAGATTTGCTGTGCTCATACCAAAGCATGTAAGTAGAGACTTAATTTAATCTAAATATGGTTCTTTTAATATTTATAGTTTATCCAAATTTCTGATAAAGTAATTATCTCAATATTAGAAAAACTGAAAGATCAGAGGAACAACATTTAAAAAATTATTTACTGTATACTATACAATAAGCTGTTCTAGTATATTTTCTAAGTGATAGGAGTGTGCACATGCAGACCAACCTCAATACTACCATCTTTAGAATGTGTTAAACAACTTGATTTGAAATGTTTTTTTCTTAATAGACTACAAATAAGATATGTAACAAAATGCTGACATTAACGGAGTCATTCGAGTGTTCAAAAGCATAATGGTCTGCTGGTACATACATTAGTCATCCATATTTGATTGGTGGGTTCTTGCTTTTTGCTCATATGTAAGCCCATGAATATACTCCTATACATGTTTTGTTTTGTGTGTGTGCTGTTATGTATTTTATCTTCCATCCTCAGATTTTAAGGTCATTTTTCACAGCACACAAATACATTTGTATACAGTCTTTAACATTTAATATACTAATCAATTTTCCATAGACTAAAACATTGGATTGTAAACCTTGCACTATTAGTGATTAACTTTCAGACTGTATTTTCACTATATCTTCTTTAAGTAAGTTACATAGTATATAGTATACCTTGAATAAAGTACAAATAACTTCAAAGACTCTGGGGGCAGAGACTGACAGAAAAGTCACGTGCACAACTGCACATCATTTATATAGAAATAACAAATAACCATGCCTGGTGGTGTGTTCACAGGGGTGGGATACTGAAGACTGAAGAAAATAATCCTGAGAGGGTCTTTCTTAATATTTAAGACTATCTTTTTTAAAAAATATTTTTATTTTATAATTAGCTTAATTGTACATATCAGCCACAGATTCCCTCATCCTCCCACCCCCCCCCCCCAGCCTTCCCCCGCAATCTGCTCCTCATTCCCACCTCCTCCAAGGCAAGGTCTCCCCTAGGGAGTTAGCCCAGCCTGGTAGACCCAGCTGAGGCAAGTCCAGTCCCCTCGTCCCTACACCAAGGCTGAGCAAAGCATCCCAGCATAGGCCCTAGGTTCCAAAAAGCCAGCTCATGCACCAAGGACAGGTAAAGCCTGCATCCCAGTAAGCACATCAAAAATAACAAAATTTTAATGTAAAAGATTTGAAGGCGATTTATAGAACTAATCCACAGCACTACTGGGAGGTTGTGGAAACTTTGAATAGTAGTCAAAGAGAGGGATACTCTGATCCAGTTCAAGAGTGGTCTTGATCTGTCACACATTCCATCCATGTTGCCATGCCTCACCACAGGAACACAAAACTATGGACTGGAAACTAGGAAATCCTTAACTATTGCAAGACTTTCTCTTCATGAGCTGATAATCTCAGGTATTTGTTAGAATTAGGGTCAAGTTCAGAGGAACCCACAGAGACAGCTGACCTGATCTCCTGGGAGCTCATGGAATCTGGATCAACAGTTAGGAAACCTGCATGGGATCAACCTAGGCCCTCTGCGTGCCTGTGACTATTGTGTCGCTTGGTCTGTTTGTAAAGCTTTTGGTTCCCCATGCTGGATTACCTCACCCAGCATGTTGTTCAAGTCCATAGGAGGTCTTTCTGAATGCAGGTAGATAGAAGAGGAGTGGATGGGGAGGGGAGTAGATGGGAGCCCAGGGGGTGGAGTGGAGAGAAGAGAAGAGAGGGGAAACTGTGGTTGGTATGTAAAAGAAATGAAAAAAAAAATAATAAAATAAAATAAATTTTTTTTAAAAAGACAGAGAAACGGGGTCAGGTTAAGGTGATGGTGGGTAGTCCTGGTGCATTGTGTTCTTTGTGCATTCAGGAGGAAGACACCTGGGCTGTGGAGATGAGTCACTGAGTAGTGTTTGTAAGGATCTCAGTTCACACCCTCAGAATCCATGTAAAAACCAAACAAACAAGCAAACAAATATCCGGGTGTAATTATGCACATCTTTATCCTTGGCACTAGGGGTTGAACAGGACAGAGACAAGCACATCCCTGGGTTTACCGACTAATATCCTAAGTCTCCAGGACCACTCTTTTGATCACATTAGCCAAAGTGGCAAGAGCTCCCAGTTCAGTGAGAGATTCTGTCTTAGAATAAATAATAAATGAATGAATGAATGAATAGTGGGAAAGTGGCTAACGAAGACTTTCTGGCCTCCACATTCTGGCTCTGGTACTACTGAGTATACTTTCACACACATTTGCATATCCTACACATGCATACGTTCACACACTCAGAAGAGGAAACACCATATAAGTACAGCTACCAAGTAAGACAGACCTGTGACCATAAAGGCAAAGCTGGAAAGAAGCCCCTAAAACACAAAGGATGCCTTGGACTGGCAGCCATCATTAGTAGCTACAGAGAGGTAAGGGAGAATGCTAACTGAATCTCAGAGGGGATATGAGAGCCTGTGGATGCCAGTCTTTTAGATTTCAAACCTCCAGTGTGTGGGAGAGAGTAAATGCTATTAAGTTAAGTCCCATACTCTGTGATAATTTGTCACAATACAGACTATTTCTCTCTGAAATCACTTCTTTTTAGATAGAGTTTATGCACCGGCCGGAATGAAGCTCTCTGTTATCTAGGTGGGCCTCAAAGCTTCAACATATCTGACTTAAGTCTTCCAAGCAAGACACTAAGCCAGCCTTGACATTATACTGTTTACATGTAAAAATTATTTCCTTTCAGTCCAGGGCCCAAGGAGCTTATCCTTCCTGTTCACCTCCCTGTGTCTCCTTCCGGAGGGTCCAGGTCCTCACATGCCATGATGGAATTTCTTTATGCCTGTGCATTCCAACACTCATCTTTCTCTTTCTATACAGTAATAGAGTGGAGAGTTTTCAGATGGATATACACACTAAAAATAAAGATTACATTTCACTCCTTCCTCTGAAAGTAAGATTAGCCATGGGACTATATTTTGACATGCTATGTGCCACCTTTTGAGACCTTTATTTACAGTGTGGGTTGAACCCGCTTTGTCTCCTAGCTTCCAAGTTACCTTCAAGTCTGCTTCAAGAAATGCAAGGGTGATGGCTAAATCTAATGATTCTTCTTTATTACTGAGAGTTCAAGCATGAATACTATGTAACATATGTAATAGCATCACATCCACACCCCAGTTCCCATCGCCAATTCCTCATATATCTCCCCAAATGAGACCCCATCCCAACTTCATGTCCTATTTTTGTTGCTTTTGGTGGTGGTTGCATGGGTATTGGGTAATCCACCAAAACCCTGGGGGAAGCCTACAATTGGAAATACACTTGAGAAAAGAATGATCCTTTTTCCCCCCTAATAGCCATCAATTTCCAGTAGTTCCTCAGTAAAGAGTGGTCCTGGAGACTATGTCCCCTATCACTGTTGGCTATTTTATGTTGGCTATCTTGATCAAAAGAGTGGTCCTGGAGACTATGTCCCCCCATCACTGTTGGCTCTTCTATTTTTGCTGTCTTGACCTTGTGTGAACAACCCCATTTGGTATGAATTCATGAGTGTGACGGTCATGTCAGGTTCAGAAGTTTGTATTTCATAGCATTTATATTGTAGTTTGTATTTCATCCAGCTCTTATATTCTTTTTGTCTCCTCCACTGTGTTTCCTAAAACTTGCTGATAGTGGTGGGTGGAGTTGATAAAGACATTTCATTTGGAGCTAAGCACTCAGTCAATTGTCCTCAGCACTTTGCTAATTATGCACTGACCATTAGATAGATCTATTTTTATTTAAGAGAGAGGGAGATGTGTGTGTGTGGGGGGGTGTATACCACTGAGGGAGTCTAGAAAAGTGTTGGATCTCCTGGAAATGGAGTTAAATCAGTATGAGCTGTCCTCAAAAGGTGATGGGAACTGAATTTGGGTCCTCTGCAAGAAGAGCAACAGCTGTAATTGCTGAGCCATTTCTCCAACCTAGAAAACTATACAATTAGTCATGATCTGGACCCTTAAGAAGGAAGGACCCATCTCAAAGATGTTTGAGGAAAAGGTGCAGGAGGTAGGAATTCAAACAACTGTGATTTGCATTGACAGATTTTTCACTAACATCAATATAATAGTTATATTGATCCCTAGGGCTAAAATATTACTCATAAGGAGGATTAAGATTAAAGTTATATGGTCTACACCATAAATAATTTCAACTACTCTGTCTGGCTTTCGGCCGAGATATGTTCCACAGAAAATGAGTCATTATTTGTCAATTCAACATTTTTTGGGTCTGTAGGGCATATCCTTTTTGTAAAACTACCAACTTCCAGAACAAAATGAATTTCTGTTGATAGGTAATATTCAACACAAGCAGGACAGAGAACACAATTTATTCACACAGAAATCCCTTACTGGTCAAGTTCATTGAGAAAACCTTAGTCCATGATCTCTATTTTATTGCCCCAAGCAAATCAAAAAACTCCTATATAAAAATAAAGTATCTGTT